TTTATAAAATAATTAGTTGTGGAAAAAATTAGATGAGTCTAATTTAGATCAAGTTATTGGATTCGCGTTTCCCCTAGGTAACTGCAGTGTTGGTTCGATTGCATTTGGAGGAATAGATAATAGATTCATTAGAGGTTTGCAATAATCATCAAATTTAATAGACACAGATTTTTATAACTTTAAAATAGCACTATTGATATCACTAAAACAATCAAATTAAATTCCTTATTTTATTATACTGATATTAAGCCAGATTTGATTATGTAATATCACTAGTGATATCATTAGTGGCATTTTAGATGCTATAAAAATCCGTGAATAGGAATTATATAATTTATACGATTACATGTAATTTAAAAAAAAATTTTATAGGATCATTTCATAATATATCAAGGTTAAACGAATCGGAACCATTTCATTCAATAAAAATTAACACAGCATATGTTGGAGACATTCCTATCGATACACCTTCAATTGATTCAATTCTTGACACTAGAAGTAATAGAATTTCTTTTGGCAAGGCTTCGGTTGATTTCTTTAAGTTGATAAATGCTACTAAATCACCCGAAGGATGGAAAATACCAAAACCTGTGGATATATCATTTGATATCATGTTAAGTGATGATGAAGTAGTGAAATTTGATCTGCCAAGTAATGCAATCTGTGATAATAGCGTAGGAGTAGGTAAAGATTGTATAGCTGTTGTGGATGATAGATCTGGTCCATTAAATACGTGGATATTTGGAACTCCATTTCTTCAAGTAAATATATATACATGGTTTTTTTTTTTGGTTTAAAAAAAAAACAAATCATAAAAGAAATCAATATAGTAATTTATTTTGAAGTCAGATAATTTTAGAATATTAATCATTATTAATAATTATTTCTTTCTTTCTAAAGAACTTTTATTTTGCGATCGACCTCAAGCAAAACCTTATACAATTTGCTAATAGAAATAACTTTTGTCCCCCGTTAATTACGCAACTTCCTACGGCTACGCAAAATTCTACGGCTACGGCTACAGCTACAAGGCAAAATTCTACGTTTACAACGCAAAATTCTACGTTTACAACGCAAAATTCTAACGCTACAACGCAATTTTCTAAACTTACAACGCAATTTTCTACGGCTACAACGCAATTTTCTACAGCTACAACGCAACCTCCTAAGGTTACAACACAATCTCCTGAGGTTACAACGCGATCCCCTACAAAGCAACCGAAAACAAAGAGACCGAGGCAAACAAAGCGACCGCAGAAAACAGGAAAGAGCAAGGGAAAGGGCAAGGAAAAGGGAAAGGATAAGGGAAAGGGAGGACGCGATAGAGGAGGACGCGATAGAGGAGGAGGCAATAGAGGAGGAGGCAATAGAGGAGGAGGCATTAGAGTAGGCTCTGGTGGTGGTGGATCATTAGGCCGTGTATTTGGTGGTATCTTAGGTGCCGCTGCTCGTGCTGAAGCTGGTGGTGCCATGGCTGGTGCCTTTAGTCTTGGTCTTGGTCTTTTTGGTGGTATGTTTATTCCTATCGATGAAGATGACCAAGTAGAACCTGAACCTGAACCTGAGCCTGAGCCTGAACCTGAACCTGAGCCTGAACCTGAGCCTGAACCTGAGCCTGAGCCTGAACCTGAACCTGAGCCTGAACCTGAACCTGAACCTGAACCTCAATTCACTACGCCTCATGGAGCTCAGGTCACTCTGCCTCCTCCTCCTCAACTTTCTCAAACTTTTCTAAGTGTGCCTACAACTCAGCAATTCATAACTCAGTTTACATCACAACTATTCACAACTCAATTTAATACTTCTCAAATATTTACAACTCAATTTAATACATCACAACTATTCACAACTCAATTTAATACTTCTCAAATATTTACAACTCAATTTAATACTATTCAATCTACAATTCAGCCTACACCAACTACTCCCAATGCAGAATCTATAGTTATGGATCTACGGCAGTTTCCCATGGAATTAGTTATATAGTTATAGATCTACGGAATTTTTCCATGAAATTGATTTTTAAAAACTAGATTTGAGACTAAATAGGATTGGTATTTATAATTTCAAATAACAAAAAGACAAAATTTTATAATATATAGAATTTTATATTATAAATAAAAATTAGAATACAAATTAAATTTATTTCTTTTTAGAAAAAAAAATTTAATGAAATTAATATTATTGCTATATTCTGTAAACAAATTATCATTATTCAATGTAAAAAAGTTTAATAAACTTATTGGTGTCTATATTATAAAAAAAATCTTTAGCTTAAATTTACTGGTTTAGCAATAAAATATTAAAAGTTCAAGTGCTTATTATAGTAAAAACTTGAAAAGTTAACCTTTTACTAAAAAAAAATACTGGGTTATAGCAGAAACTATTTTTGTTCTAGAATTCAAATTGAAGCTAAGAAATAATTATTAATCATATTAAAAAGAATATTACAAGAAAAATTTAAAAAAAGTAAAAAATTTAGATTAAAATTAAAATTTTACAATTTTTGTTAGAGAAGATAATTTGAAACTTTTTACTAAGAGTATTCTTGTGTTCAGAAAATTGCAACTTAGCCATATTATAATCTAGAATCTTGCATAACTAATAATGAGTAATTTTTACAAAAAAGGATATTAGATTTGGCTAGTAAGTAATTAAGGCTTTTGGTTATTTGGGTTTAACAAAATAAGTCACATAATCAAGAAATTGAAATGAACAATAATTTTAGTATAGAATGTATAGGCTTTACTAAATATAAAATTAATATAAGATTATAGATAATATAAAATAATGAGACTTATTATTTTTAATAAAGCAAATAGAAAATATTTTTTCTTAGAATAATAATGCTTTTTATTTATAATAAATTTTTAACTATAATTTATTTTATTATATAAATATTTTTTTTCTATTTTCTTATCTAATCTAACTGCTTTAATTTATTTATTTAAAATCTTATAATAATAAATTTTATTTTATTATTATATTCTTCTTTCTTGATATATTTATTAAATAAAATTGTGCAATTAATTGTTAAGATGTTCATATTAAGTAATTAATCATTTTGCTCACTTATATATAAATTTAGCAATTTATTTATATCACATTATTGAGTCAAATAGTATATTATATAAAAATAACATAAGATTGAAACTTAATACAGAGTAATATTCAAATAAAAAATTAATTACTAATATAGTTAAAAGAGAAAAAGATTTTTAATTCATTATTAAATAAATTAATAGTAATATAAAAATAAAATAAAACTAGCTAATAAAATTTTTGAACTATTAATATATTTCAGACATTATTAAAAATATAAATACTGTTATAGGCAACACGGGTACCAGAGTTGCTCTAACCCAGTGCTGCTCTGACCCATGCCTCTTACAGTAAGAATGCCCCTGAAACAAGCAAATGATTGTGCATTGATTGTACCTCGAGAAACTTGGAAGCCAAGCTGCCCATTTGAAACAATGTCATAATGATGCAGAATCAGGTACTATAGCCATTTGTTAGGGAGATCTGCCAGATTGGACTAGTTGTTTGTGCCACATGAGGCCATTCAAGGTCCCAATCGTAATGACGAATCTGCAACCATTGAGTTTGATAGGAAAATGTTGGATCTTGGGCCCCTGTGCCATCTCTTTTTGTGGTGTGCCATTCTTGTATATAAGTGCCTTTTTTTAGAGAGAGAATTAGGATAGTCAACAATCGTATTAATAATAAAAAAAACTGGCATCAGCAATAAACTGAGATCTTGCACTCACGCTTTAGCCTTGCCAAATCATTTTGCCTCTTTTATAGTGCAACGTTTTGTGATGTTTGGTATTCTCGAGCGACAATCTGTCACATTTTCCTTGCCTCTATTATTCCAAACATAAAACCATAAAAAAAAAATCATTTAACCCATCAACAATACATATAATTTAATACAAAAATATTTATACTTTAAGGTTATACAATTTAATTAATCAGTTTTTATAACCTAATCAGATCAAATTTTATAAACTCCTAAAAAAAACTTTAAGTATTATAAATCTGATTTTTTGGATTACAAGTGTTTAAATTAAAACTATAATTTTTATTTAATCTAAAGTTGTACAAAAAATAATAGAAATATTACTTTTATTACTTTTGTTACTTTTGCTATTTTGGTTGCATATTTATTAATAAAATATTAGTCTTTTATTAGGTTTGGTTAAAATATAGAGTATAGAAAAATATTACATTTATAAAAAAAATTAATTGCTAATATAAATAAAATGCTTATTATAAATAAAAAATATTTTAATTTAAAAGAAAACACATTTTTCTATATAATAATAAATATTTAATCTATAATAAAATACAAGTATTTTAAGATATAGTAACTTAATAAAGTAAATAAGTTGTTAATTCTTAAATAATAAATTGTGAATTTAAAACTCATTGATAACAAAAATTTGAATAATTGTTTATATAATATATAGACTGTATTATGGTAATGGCATTCTGTTAATTAGGCAAGATAAAATATCTGTAACTATAGTTATACTAGCATAACTAGCTAATTATGAAACATCTGTAAAACTGATTATACAGAAAAATGCAAATTGTTAATAGGTAATACAAACCTAAAATAAGTTTTTGTGATTGTGTAAATTTGTAAAACTATAAATCTAAAGCTTATTTAAAAAATCCAAGTAGAAAAATAATACAGATCTTTAATATTACTTCTATAAAGACTAGAATTAGAAAACAAATATCAATATAAAGGAATTAGACAGACAAGAATATTGAATAATAGGTATTATTAACCAGGTTGTTAGAAGTCTTAAACTAAAAAAAATACTATTAAATATTATAATTCAGTATATTAGAAACAGGTTATAGTTCTTCTAGACTATCTAAATTAAAGGTTTAATAACAAAAGCTAAAGTATATTATAAGTATTAAGAATATGCTATAAAGTAGATACTATGAGTTAGATAAACTTTGCAAAAACAAGTTCTATTAACAAGCACTAAATATAAATAGTTAGTTAACAGAAAAGCTTTTTAGAGCCTTATAGCCAAATAATGTACTCTGAAATATATAATATTTTGATAAACATACAAACAAAAAAATCAGAATTAGATTAGATAACACTTAGATGTATAGGAACTTATGCAGTATCTATCAGTTGTAATATAGAGATCAGAGTGTTTAATTAGATAATCTTCTGGCAGATTGTAAGTATAATATGCTAGTATAAAACCTGCAGCTAGATTATTTAAATAAATAGCCAAAAGCTGTATATGTAGCAGTTGCATACTTACATTATACAAGTTATATCATTAAAATTAAGAGTAAAGTCCAATGTAGATCATTTTTTATATGACTTTGATGGTAAATTTTTTTTATTTTTAATATTTTAGAAAATTTTATTAAGTTAATTATTTTAGATTATTAAGTAAAGTTTGTAGAATAGGTTTTTCTGATTCTAATAGTAGTAAAATCATTAAAATTGGTTAAATATTTAATAAGAAATATGTATTTAAAGATTAAATGTTATTTTTGTTATATGATAATTATGTGATATAAACCAATCAAAATAACTGATTTTGTGTCACCACAG